CTGAGGCAGAACAGGTACAGGAAAGTGTGTGTGTGCGTGCACCTTGTATTTTTGCTGGACTTGTTAGCAATTTATTTAACTGGGTACATTTCTGCTTTAGTTGAGCTGAGTTTGCTGTACATCTGGGAGATTTTTAAATAAACCATTTATGTAACCGTATTTATACAATATAAATATATCATAGTACAGAAGAGTACATGTAACCATATAGATATCATGTAGTACAGTAGAGTTTATGTAACTATATAGATAGTATAAATATTTAGTATAATAGAGTACATGTAACCATATATATACTATATAAATATATAGTACAGTATATGTACTGTGAGACATCCACCATTGTGTCCCTGAGCAAGACACTTAACCCCTCGTTGCTCCTGAGGCGTGCGACCTCTGACATGTATAGCAATTGTAAGTCGCTTTGGATAAAAGTGTCAGCTAAATGAATAAATGTAAATGTAATATGTATATATATGTTCTTGGGGTTCAAGCTTCTCACCTCAGGTCTCCCAGTAAAATTTGGCTTTAATGCATTCAGCTCGTAGTAATTAATGTTCTACCTCAGAAGTATTTAGGTTCACCGAGATGACGCCGTACTCACATCTCTCACCACAAACCACAAATATAAAAAATTTAAATAATACAAAGCTATAAGAATGTAATGTAAATCACTGCTCCTCTGGCTACGTTAGCATTGCTTGTTGTTCACTTTTAGCATTTGTATCGTGTGCTGAGGAGATTCCACACGAGACATCGCTCTCAGACACACCTGCAAGACACAGAGGTGTACTATGGGTATGGTTTGTCTTCGCTCTGTCACTCTATCTGTGGTTTTAGTTATTGCGAGCAGCGCAAGTTTCCCAGAAGGTTTCCTATAGTGTCCTGTAGTGATTCATCTGAAGTGATCTGTTGGCAGGAAGGTTTGGACGGGATTCAGCCTCTCTCACACAAAATAAAGTGTGTTTTTATCCGACTCTGTCAGTGTAGCACGCTGATGACTGAACTGTTTTGCGGATAAACTGTCATGTGACGCTACCATGTGATTGACATTACTGTTTGGCTGTAATGATGTGGTTTTCTTAGCTCACCACGGGGGCGCTTGATTCAGGGTTTTATTTAAACCACACATCATCAGAAGGACAGCATTTAAATTGGATAATTTATTAATGCACAGGAAGAAGAGTAAAAGTACACAACAAGAACAGGGACTCTAACCTCAGTGAATACTAAACACTGCTAACACTACATACTGAATACTACAAAAACTACACAGGAACTCTTGTGGTTGTGTTTTGTGGGCATGTGGCACAGATCAGAGCAGCCTGATCATCACGTAGGAACCGTGTTTGTGTCACCTGATGACGGTGAGTCCAGGGTTCTCTCTGTGTTTGGTCTCCACCAGCTCCGCAGGGAAACATCTGGCTCTAGTGACGGACAAATGAAGCGTTCTGAAGCTTTATTGGTTCAGCACTCGAAGCTTCATTGTAAGCTTCATTCAGGAAATGCACAGCACCATCTGCTGGTGAAGATGTACCACAAAACGCAGTTCGGCTCATACGTTACAACCAAACCCAAAGGAAACTTTATTGCACTCATTGGTTACGCTTTTACAGCTCAGGAGACAAAATTGTGATTCTCATTTCAGCCTTAATTTTAGTGTTGTAGCTGCGACCTGTTTCTCGTATTTTGGTCCTAAAATTCACTTGGAGAAATGGGGGAGACAAAGCAGTTAGCAGCAGGAATCACACCTGATGGCGAAGCCTCGCTCGGTCTCATTGATGGCAAATTCTTTGTCTTTCACAATAAAACCCAGATACCCTGAGCAGGAACCCCAGACTTCCTACTCAAAGAGCAACTCTGCCACTTCACCATCTGATTACATTAAATATAGTCCACTTTCCCTTTACCTCAGAAAAGTAGAAATAATATATTTACCATAAAAGTTGTCAAAATTCTACTCATTAAAGGTGAAGAAATATTCCATAGTACTTAAGTAATAAAATTCTGCATGACGTTGCTGTATCTCAGTTCTTGCATGCATTCTGTCCCTAATAAATTCATCTCTAAACATCAGTTATGCTAGTTGAACAATCAGTAAAGTGGAAAACATGAAATCTGAAAGTTGAGCAGTTAGCAGTTAGCCCAGCCTGGAAGTGTCGGCACGCTGCCTGCTTGTTTTTACGGTTTGTCTCAGCTGGTTTGTTGCCACTCTGTTCCCTGTAAGAACCGATAACCTGGCATAAGACAGACAGAACGTTACTGAAATGCAAGCTGCTGCTTCTCAACATGTCAAACATCTCGATGTGATTCCACAGATCGAGTCACGATGTCAAATAAAAGTCTCATTTAGTTTTTGTTCGGGGATGAAAATTCTAATAAGTCGTCACAGTTTTTAGTGTCTTGAGGAGAAACGGTTGTAAATGTAAACACTTTTTCTTGCTGACTAAAAATGGAAAAACACAAAGTATGTGGAGCTCACTACTGTCCAAACATGCAGTACTAATGCGTAGTAGTACTATAGTAGCAGCAGGTCTGCAGAATGACTCGTCCAGAGTCTGAAAAAGGAAATCTACTGAATCAGACACTCGCTGTGATTCAAACAACCCTGAGGAAGGAAAAGTTTTATTGTTCCTGCTGTGGACTTCATGCAATAAACCGGCGACAATAACTTTCCATCTGACGAGAAGCAGCTTCAGAGGGCTGTGTTTCTCCTCAGAAGATTAAAAACATCTTTAATAACCTGCAGCTTTAGACCTTAAACACTCGAGTTCAGCTCAGAGCGTCAGTCAGGATGTCAGAAACAGGGAGCACAGGATCGATGAAGACACATCCTCCACGTTTGACCCGTTCAGAACAGAAAGCAGCAGCTTCAGGATGACTTCATGTTGTCAGGTGATGAAGCAGCATTTACAAACGGCCTTTCCATGTGACGTTTTATTCAGTCCTGTGTGCTGCTGTTAGAGGGTCATTCTGCAGAGACCGTGTCTCTAACAGGTCCTGGTCTCAGCCTGACCGCTCCTATTCCTACTAAACTATCAGTCTGTGGCTGGGTCACATGTTCATCATCACTCTGTAGTTTATTCTGCCTCAAACACTCACTACAGCACCACACGTGGATCACAGGAAGTGAGAGGCTGACACAGGAAGCAAGAGCCTGACACAGGAAGCGAGAGCCTGACACAGGAAGTGAGAGCCTGACACAGGAAGCGAGAGCCTGAGACAGGAAGTGAGAGCCTGAGACAGGAAGTGAGAGCCTGAGACAGGAAGTGAGAGCGTGACACAGGAAATGAGAGCCTGACACAGGAAGCGAGAGCCTGACACAGGAAGTGAGAGCCTGACACAGGAAGCGAGAGCCTGAGACAGGAAGTGAGAGCCTGAGACAGGAAGTGAGAGCGTGACACAGGAAATGAGAGCCTGACACAGGAAGTGAGACAAGAAGTGAGAGCCTGACACAGGAAGTGAGGCAAGAAGTGAGAGCCTGACACAGGAAGTGAGGCAAGAAGTGAGAGCCTGACACAGGAAGTGAGACAAGAAGTGAGAGCCTGACACAGGAAGTGAGGCAAGAAGTGAGAGCCTGACACAGGAAGTGAGACAAGAAGTGAGAGCCTGACACAGGAAGTGAGACAGGAAGTGAGAGCCTGCCACAGGAAGTGAGACAAGAAGTGAGAGCCTGACACAGGAAGTGAGGCAAAAAGTGAGAGCCTGACACAGGAAGTGAGAGCCTGACACAGGAAGTGAGACAGGAAGTAAGAGCCTGACACAGGAAGTGAGAGCATGAGACAGGAAGTGAGAGCCTGAGACAGGAAGTGAGGCAAGAAGTGAGAGCCTGACACAGGAAGTGAGACAAGAAGTGAGAGCCTGACACAGGAAGTGAGGCAAGAAGTGAGAGCCTGACACAGGAAGTGAGGCAAGAAGTGAGAGCCTGACACAGGAAGTGAGAGCCTGACACAGGAAGTGAGAGCCTGACACAGGAAGTGAGACAGGAAGTGAGAGTCTGACACAGGAAGTGAGAGCCTGACACAGGAAGTGAGGCAAGAAGTGAGAGCCTGACACAGGAAGTGAGAGCCTGACACAGGAAGTGAGACAGGAAGTGAGAGCCTGACACAGGAAGTGAGGCAAGAAGTGAGAGCCTGACACAGGAAGTGAGGCAAGAAGTGAGAGCCTGACACAGGAAGTGAGAGCCTGACACAGGAAGTGAGACAGGAAGTGAGAGTCTGACACAGGAAGTGAGAGCCTGAGAGAGGAAGTGAGAGCCTGAGACAGGAAGTGAGAGCCTGACACAGGAAGTGAGACAGGAAGTGAGAGTCTGACACAGGAAGTGAGAGCCTGAGAGAGGAAGTGAGAGCCTGAGACAGGAAGTGAGACAGGTTGCTGGTTTGAGTTTCAGGGTTGAGGTCCAGTTTAGAGCTGAACAGGATGTCTGAGGCTCTTCTTCATGTCCTCCCTCTCTCACCTTTTTATCCCAGTTTCCTGCCTTACTACCTGTTTACCTTCTGTCTCTCTCTCTTTCCCTCCCTCCTCTTCTTTCCTCTCTTTCTTTCTTCCTCCCATTTTTTCTCACTGCTCCTTCTTCACAGTTTTCCTCTCCTTTACCCATCCTTCCTTGTTTCCTTTCTCTACCACGGCTCCTCTCTCCTCCTCCTTCCTTTTTCCAAATTTCTCTCTTTTCTTTTAACAGGTCTGTTTCTCTTTTCTCCTCCTGCTCTCTTCTTCATCTCCCCCACTACATTCTGTTTTCCATCCATCCTTCCTCTCTCCTTCTCTCCTCTCCTTACATCTTTCTTTTCTTTCTCCTTCTTTCTGCTTTGCTCCTCTTTTCCTGTTGTCTCCTTTTCTCCTCTCCTCTCTGTATCCTTCCTTCTTCTCTCTTTCTATTAACCTTTTATCTACCAGGCCTTCTCTCTCCTCCTCCTTTCCTCTGACAGCTTAGTTTCTCCTCCTCCTCTCTTCCTGCTTTGCGTCTCACTCTCTGTCTCTGTTTGTGTGTCTCCTGACAGGACGGCCTTACATGGACATGGAGTTCGGCCTGCCTGACGCCTCCTCCTCGCTCTCCAGCACAGAATGGTTGTCTCTCCACCACTGATGCCCCACCGGCTTCTACGAGAGAGAGAAAGAGAGAGAGAGTGGAAACACAGAGACAGATAAAAGAAAATTAGAGAGGCCAAAACAGCGAGCAGGAACAGACGGAGAAGGAGAAAAAGAGAATTGTGAGGCTGCACATCCTTAATCTCCACAGCGGGGAAACACTTAGAGGGAGGGAGGCCACACGGGCGATTCTGTCTATCTTGCAACTTCAGGAACCATCATCACAATTTAATAAGAATTTGAAAGGCTGCGGCGCTGCAACAAATCAGCCTTCAGAGGGGGAGAGGGAGGGCAAGAGAGCTGCATACAGACAGAGAGAGAGAGAGAGAGAGAGAGAGAGAGAGAATGCAGCGAGGCCAGACGCTTTAACGCCTTCCTACCTGGATTTATTTCTTTCTGCTTTTTGTTTTAAGTCCCAGCAGCAATAAAACTGCGACGGCAATATCAGAGAATAACTTTATTATTATTTTACACATATTACTGCTGAGATTCCAACAAATAATGGTTTTCTATCAGGAGAGTCTGTGTTTTGAAGCGGAACATCTTGTTATTTAGAAGAACAGCACTGACATCTGCCCGTAGGCAGGAGCTGTCTCACCTGCAGCCAGAAAGACAACCATATAAGGTTTAAAATGGTCAGTTTACCCTGAGCAGCGTCTTGCAGGTCAGGAGAGCGACAGGAAGCTTCATCCCGCCCAGCAGAAGGACATCAGGAAAAAACTAGAAGACGGGTCACAGGGACGTCAGATAGATGGTCTTTCCCTCTCCTTTACAGCGTTTCTTTCATGGCCTGACACCTAGCTGCCCTCTGACCCCTCCCTCCGCCCCTCCTCCCCCCTCAACATGTCCGACCGCCTCCTCTCTCACTGCCTCGACAGCTCGAGGACATCAGGTCAGGAAAAGAAGTGAGCAAGGATTTAGTGAAGGCGCTTACGTCTGACGTGTGAACTCCGTCCTCCTCCGAGGACAGAAGTTGACTCTCTGCAGGTGGGACGTGCTGATGCAAGATGGCGGCAGGTGTGGCGACGTGGCTGCCATTTGCACGGGCCGCGGCAGTGGGATGGCTGCCGTTAGCCAAGAAGACGATGCCCAAACCTCCTGTGGACAACTCGTCCAGATCGGATGAGATCCTGTATGTCAACGTCAGCGGGGTCAGGTTTCAGGTGGGTGTCTACTGAGCATGCTCCAAAATATGGCAGCAGAGTGAGGGAAGCTGCGAGGCCGTCGGTTACAGGCGTTTTACCTTCCGTCCAAGCCCAGTCCCAGAAGCAATGTTCACGATTCAGAGTTTTGATTTCTGCCTTCACCGACTTCCAAGGTGCCTGAAGAAGTGATAAAGATCTGAGCTCAAACTGTGTGCGTCGGCTTGTGGCCTTCGTCCCCGTCACCAGTAAAGTTCTTCTAAACAGGTATCAGTGGAATCCACACCTCCCAGTTTGTCCAGAGCCAAACAGGACGTAGCTAGACTTTCATGTAGAGAGGTGGAGAGTCAACGGGTGCTGGATGGACGTGTAGCAGGGCTGACGTCCCGTCACAGGCCTGGAATCTCTTTAACAACGTTGTAATTAAATACACAACCCACTTTTTTCAGTTTTATCCAATATCAATCTTCCTCTCAGGCCTGGACAGGAAGAGGGTCCTTTCCCCTTCCCGTTTTATGTTACGTGACTGTTTGGCCAGTGTTAGGACGCCACCAGGTGAGAGCCTGCTGTGTGTGACCTCGACACTACTGTGCACCGTTATGACAGTAAACTCACAACCTATTTTACTGACTGCTCTGATTTATACCGCCATCGACTGCTGACTCCTCCCTTCTCTTCCCCCCTGCAGGTCAGTCAGTAAAGTTCCGTACAGACAGTTAAACTAAGTCAACGCTGATGAACAGCAGCCTTCTGGGTAAAAGCCCTATGTTTGTTTGAACTGTCCATCCACCCCGACCCCGTCACGATGTGGACTTTGTCACTCTTTGTACTACGTCACATTTTTTCTCTCGATGACATTGGCGTGTAAAATGACCCGTGTTATTCCTACAACCTCTGGTGAGACCAGGCCCGGTGGAGGTCTGCACTCTTCTTCTGTAGTTTTGTCCATAAGCAGTTTGTTCACTCACACTGCAAAACTGAGTGCTCAAAAACAAGAAAAACAGCAATAAAATGGGGGAAATCTTACTTAAAATAAGCAAAATTAAAAAACAGAACAAGAACATTTCACTTGCTACTTAAGGACAAAAACTTGAACCAAGTGAAATTCTCTAACATAAAAGCCGCCTGGTAAGAAGAAATATCTTGTCAAACAAAAACAAGTATATTTTGCCTTCAATTAAGATAATGAATCTACTTAGATTTTAGTTTTTGCAGTGACAGCAGGATCTTTTAGTTCCTCCTTGAGTTTTAAGATGTGCGTAGATTTCCTGACCATGTGTCCGAACAAACCCTTTAGTGGCCTGAGCACTGACTGGACATCACTGTGAACCACATCAGCATGACGGACTGTCAGCTGTGGCTTAAGATGTGGTCACTGCAGCTGCTCCACCCCACTGATGCACTTTAGACACAGAAGCCTTCCAGAAGGTTGGAGGCCCTTCTCCTTATTTTGAGAACGCAGTCAATGTTTCTTTAGTGAAATGATATTCTTTTAAAGTTACAGTAACCCCCCCCTGTCCCTCTTTGACCATCCAGACCGGATCTGTTAACAGCATTCAGTTCTCATCATTCTGTACAGCGGCAGGTGTCTTCCTAAGCTGGGTGCATTTCTGGCAGAATAATATTTAATGCAGAGAGCGTCTGAGCAATAACTTCTGATATTTCATCATGTATAAAAAGACATTTCATCATTTTAAGGTCAAGCTCTTTGTCTTCTCTTTAATCTCATTGCCTGTGATGTCAGTTGTCACATCCTACATTAATGACACGAGGCTTTGTAAAGGCTCATTGGTGTTGGCCATATATGGTGTTTAGGGGCGTGTCTTTGTGTAGGCTCATACAGCTGATCCACACTGAGGCTTATCCACATGTTGTTCTCATGTATACATGGAGGACTTGTTCCATGCGGGCTTTGATGAGCACCAGGGGCCGTATTACAGAGTTCCGGTCTTAAGTTCAGACAGGAAGAGTCTAAGACAGGATTTTTCTCAGTTTGGTATTACAGAAGCAAATCCCAACTAACTTTAGGAATCCTGTCTTATGTCAGGTTAGGAAATCCTAAATACTCAAACCAACATCGGTTATCAACTTTTATGTCTGTTACCTAGCAACCGCGGAGCTAAACGGCTTTTAATCTCGTTTTTTGGTAGTTTTTTTTAATGAAACATAACTGAAAATGGAGTAGAAACAACAACTATCACTGAACTTCAAGTCAGAGGACTCAGAGGTGTCGGTGACCTCATTGAGAAACCCAAATATAGAGAGCGGGCTAAAGCAGCGGACACAGTCGCCGCCGTATATCCTGCAGCCAGCAGAGCGCTGACGCTGTCAGAAAGAAAATCAGTCCATTTACAGTGAGACGAAGAGAAAGGCAGCTGTATCCAGAGAGCAGAGGGAACCGCTGGTGGCTCCTCCTGTGCTCCCTCACTGACCCCTGCAGGAACCCGTACTCTGCTCGGCAAACTTAATAATGACGGTAAAAAAAAGGCTACGGGCTAACGTCACCATGGTTTCATGTATTTCTTGAATTTAACCATCTCCTCCTATCAAAGACTCGCAGTAGGTTGTTCCATCAGGCCTTCACATCACGTGACATAATGAGACATTATCCAGCGTCACATCGCCGACAGCCTTCCTACAGTTAATAAGTTCTGCCTGTTGACATTTTGTCAAGAGCAGTCGTGGATTTAACGAGTTAGGAAACTGTAGCTGGTGGAAAAGTAAAGTTAGGACAGCTCAACAGTTCTCCTGAAGTCAGGACGCTTCTGTAAAACACTGTTCTTATCTAAAGTTAGGAAAGGAACCTGACTGAGGAACTGTTCATCTGGAACGGCCTTTATCAGTTCCTAACCCTTGTTACCATGGTTACCAAGCAGTCAGGACAGGCTCTGCAGGTTAGGAAGTTTCTGTAATACGGCCCCAGGTTTATTCCTCCAATGTAGTGTATGGAGCGGTTCTAAGAACTACATTACCCATAAGCCTCAGCAGCTATTCCAGCCAGAGCCATGAACTCAGGGGTTCTACTGTACTATACTGAGGGAGCCTTGTTGCTGCAAAATATTTCCACAATCCAAAGTGGACCTTACAGCAATGCTCTCTGGGACTCGTAGTTGACTCCTAAAGTTCTTCTTGAAGTGCTAACTAACCAACCATGTCTGAGGGAAATGAGTTTCTCCCAGAACTACTCTCTATAATTGTGCTCCATCTCTGTTCCTACTTCCAAGGCAGGAAGTGGTAAAACTGGACGTCTACTCAGCACATGCTGCAGAAATAATACCAAAATGCTCTGCAACAAAAACAGTTGTTAGTGGCTTTCAAAGTGCTGCAGTGGCAGAACAAGAAGAAAGTTCTTGTCAAGTCTTGGACTTTGTCCTAATTTTTAAAATATACAAACATACAGTAATGCTTGCTTTTAAAAAGTGACGCCAAATAAGAGCTTCTGAGCACAAAACTTTCACTTTCACCATCAGTTAGTGGCGGTTCAGTGCTCCCATCCGACTTCTGAGGAACTCCTTCAGATGGACCTGCTGTGTTTGTGTGGAGAGCTGAGTCTCCTTATGGTGCATTTCAACACCCTGCTGCTGACGGTTCAGGTTCAGATACTTGTTGCTCTTAGGTTTGACAGTCTGGCTATTTCGTCTAGGGAAATCAATGTCAGCGTTAAGCTAGGCTAATTAGCTTCTACTTTCAGAATGGAATACAAACTTAACTGCAGGATGTTCCTCCCAAAATTTAGAAATCTAAGAGGTTCATGTGGACCAGAAAACCCATTCAAACTCAGCTGTCTTCAGAACTTCAGGCGTGTTCATGTGCGCTCAGCAGAACTGCAGTATTTCTGGTTGCCCAGAGGCAGAGTTTCATTTTGTTTAGTAGTAAACCACACAGGTGGACTTCCATGACCCCCCTTATCCATGGGAGATTTGTTCAACACCCACATGAGGAGCAGTTTTAGGGTCTCAGAGAATGATTCTGTTTTCTTTCTGCAGACATGGAAGAACACTTTGGATCGTTATCCAGAGACGCTGCTGGGCTCCTCAGAGAAGGAGTTCTTCTTCAACGAGGACACACAAGAGTACTTCTTCGACCGAGACCCTGAAATGTTCCGGCACATTCTGAATTTCTACCGCACCGGGAAGCTGCACTACCCGCGGCACGAGTGCGTCCAGGCCTTCGACGAGGAGCTGGCTTTCTACGGCATCGTGCCAGAGATCATCGGAGACTGCTGCATGGAGGTAAACTGAGCTTCTGAATCACGACTCTGATAACTCTGATGCATTAAGTAGATATCCGTCCTCGTGTACTTGTATATCAAACTTAGTCATTTCATGTGATCGGAGAAACGCTGTCACATGTGGAACTGCTGAAATATTAGCTGTTGGATTTAGGGGCGTTCTCCTCTCTCCTCTCTATAACAGCCGTGTTCTGTAGTCGTTCCTTTAGGTTAACAAACACAAGCTAGACTAAAACACTAGAGCTGCCCCGACTAAAGCTGTTTCCAGTCCACAAGCTGTTGCAAGTTTGATACCTGGTTCTGTTGCTTGCTCTTTCCCTTACTCCTGAAAACCTCTTCCTCCCTGTGGTCCAACGCTCCTGTGCTGGTGATGGAAACAAACGCCACTCTCCCCTGGTACTCGAGCTCCCAGTCCGGATAGAGTCAGCTAACATGGCAGAGCCCACAGTTAGCAGCAGTGCCATGTTTAATAATTCATCCATGCAGTAATGTTTAATAATATAAAATCGTTTTCTTTCTGCGAATAACGAACCAATGGAAACTCGGCGGACTAAGAAAAGACAACAGCAGCTTCCAGCTTTTGTTTCAGCACTGCAGCCTCACAGATGTTAACGTTTCCAGTGCCTGCAGCATCCCTTAATGTGGATGCTGAGACTTTTGATGGGATTTATTCTGCTGTCAGAGAATCATCAGCGAAATGACTGAAGGGTAAAAACATGGATGGTTGTGGGGGGTGGGGTTACTGACCACAGGATCAGACTCAAGCTCAGTGATGAGCCCTCTGAAACACCAGCGTGGGATTTTGGCACCCTTCGTACCCCGACGTCATTCCTTTAACAAGCTCCTGTCACCGTCTGCACAATAAATCACCCTCAGAGCTCTTTCTGTTGTGATGGTTGCCTCGTTTTCAGAGGCTTTTATATCTTTTTATCCTTGTTTTGATAACGAACAGGTCATTGTCCTTTATTTGCTGAGATTTGGCAGATTCTGCTTCACAAATGTTGATTCAACTGTGAGAGATTCTAATTTCTGGAGTTCTTTTTTTACTCACTCAACACTTCCCCCACGATTTCCCATGGGAAGCCGTGCACATGGTTTTTATTTTTATTCCTCCAGAGATTTCACAGATTCTGTTCCACCGCCTCCTTTTATCATCTGGCAAATGTTTAAAGAAGGAATTTAACTTCCTGTTTTAAGCTAAACTTTAAGAATCAGAGTTGATTTAACATTGTCAACCCAGCAGTGGTCGAGGCTTAGCAGATATTTTGTTTGTTGACACTTCTGTGGTGGTTTTCACCAAGTGAGAGAAATTATCTGGACATCATATTTACCCCATCAGGCTTTTTCCAACCCAGCTGCTCACAGACGTTAGTGATTCTGAACCACCAGATATCCTTGATCGGTCCGACAGAAAGAAAACAGGGGAGCAGTAAGCTAGCGTGTTAAATTCATTAGCATTCCACCTAAATACAAGACTCTGGCCTCTGAACCAACATGTTGAAAAGGAGAAACTGGACTGGTTCTCCGGTGTTCAGTCCTGGTTTGAGACCAGATCCAGAACTGGCTGTGATGTTGTAAGTCGGCTAACATTCCTCTCCCTGCCCTCCTTCTTTGTACAGGAATACCGAGACAGGAAAAAGGAGAACCAGGAGCGTCTGGCAGAGGACACGGAGGCCAATGAGGCGATGGACGCCCCCCTCCCTCCACACAGCACCTCCAGGGAGCGGCTGTGGCGAGCCTTCGAGAACCCGCACACATCCACCATGGCGCTGGTCTTCTACTACGTCACGGGCTTCTTCATCGCCGTGTCCGTCATCGCCAACGTGGTGGAGACGGTCCCCTGCCGGCCCCCCAAAGGCAGCGTTAAAGACCTTCCCTGCGGGGAGAAGTACCAGCTGGCCTTCTTCTGCATGGACACGGCCTGCGTGCTCATCTTCACCTTCGAGTACCTGATGCGTCTGTTCGCCGCGCCCAGCCGCTGCAAGTTCATGCGCTCTGTGATGTCGGTGATCGACGTGGTGGCCATCATGCCCTACTACATCGGCCTGGTGATGCCGGAGAACGAGGATGTGAGCGGTGCCTTCGTCACCCTTCGGGTTTTCCGCGTCTTCCGGATCTTCAAGTTCTCGCGTCACTCGCAGGGTTTGAGGATTTTGGGCTACACGCTGAAGAGCTGCGCCTCTGAGCTCGGCTTCCTGCTCTTCTCCCTCACCATGGCCATCATCATCTTCGCCACCGTCATGTTCTATGCCGAGAAGGGCACCAAGGGCTCCACCTTCACCTCCATCCCCGCCTCTTTCTGGTACACCATCGTCACCATGACCACGCTCGGGTGAGTTAACCTCAGCCGTATGTTGATTCTGACATTAACCAGATTTTATTTTGCCGCCGGTGGCTGCACTGCTATTAAAACAGTCGTCATAGCAACGTGAGTGTGCGTCTCCCTCAGGTTTTCCACTGGGTGTCGGACACGTGGACGTGTCCTCGTTAACCTGCTGGGTGTCGTGGTTACTGGTAACGGAGGTTTTACAGTATGTTTCCACGGTGAAGCGAGGCCGAGTTGGCCTCCCACTCGCTGCTGCTCGGGTACGCTGGTGTGTGTTCACCCTGCTGCCGCCCACACACACTCTCTGCTGAGTGTGATCCATTATCTGCTGTTCAAAGAGCCTTTGGAAACATGAAATGGAGAGTGAGTCAGGAATCTGCCATAAGCTCCGATGAACAGACCATACCGCTTCCTAACACGCACTGTGAACTCCTAGCGCTCTGAGAGGGAAGGTGTGAGTTCAGGTGTGAATGACTGGAGTGTTACTGGATCTGAGGGGTTGCTGATCTTGATGGTTTCTGACCTTCTAGGCTGCGGTAGCTCGGAGGTGTGTTTCTCCTGTCGCTCCACACTTGTCTTGGGATGTGACTAAGTACATTTACTGCACCTAAGTACACATCTGAGGTACTTGTATTTCAGTATATCATGCCACTTCGTACTGTGAGTGCACCACGGCTCAGGAGGACTTACATAATTCTTAATTAATCAACTTCATAAACAAATGAACTGGTTGCTGATTTAAACGAAGATTCTCTAGATTGTTTCTTGCACTCTGCATGGTTATAAGTCAATAATCAGTAGAGTTAATGTTGAGAGAAAGATGCAGCTTTAGACCTTTAGTCCGATGTGAGAGTGGAGGCTTTTATTCTGAAAGCCCCCCCCCAGTCCTCGGGTCCATTAGTTATCAGCAGGGAGAGGCCAACCTCTAAATGGATTCTCCATGCAGCAAAACACAAACCAGGCTTTTACCCCCCCCCGCTTACAGTATTTCCTGTTTCCTTCCAGGGACTCTCCCTCTGTCCTCACCCCTCTTCCCCTCCGTCTCTTCTCTTGTTGATCAGAAACAGAAACAGGGTCGGTTCTCAAACTGTTCCAATCAGATACTGATTCCACGGATGGATCGGTCCTGATCTTCTACGCACAGGAGCAGATGAATAAGAAGCATCTTAACTTTCGGGCCTCCTTCACGGTGTTTCCTGAGTTTGGCTGTAGAAAACTCTGGCACACAGACAAACCCTGTGAAGAGCTCCATGTTCAGAAATGTTGCTGCTGTTCAAACCACGGGAAGATCCAGAGCTGCTCTGATAAGGAAAAATCCCACAGATACAAACGCAGCATCAAAGCCTGAATCGCACGCCGTCTTCCCCAACACACAGCAGCCGCTCATTTGTTGGGTTCAGTTCTACAGCCTGTGATGCTTTACTGATTACGTTCAACTCACTGAATCATCTGTTCATTTAGATTCATTATTTAATGGCTGCAACATCTCCACGTTAATAATGGTGCGGTGACTTCATTCATTATTAATAGTGATCGGTCCCAGCAATGGGACGTAACCATAAAACACTTTCTGTACTTTCTGTACCCCCCCCCCCCCTTAAAGAAGTACATTAAAGTACCAAAGGATTCTTTTTTAAATATGTATATATTTATAACTCGTTTCATATACATACACATAAAATATGTAAATATCATTGTTTAATGCAGAAGTACTGGTGCAACAGGGATGTTGGTAACGTGCAGGAGAAGACCCGAGTCAGACGTCAGCAGGTGAACAGGATGTGTGTGTGTGGTGGGGGCGGGGTCACCTCAGCTCAGCGACTTTGCTGCTGGACAGCTGGGGTACTGCAGGTGGTTCCTGACGGTGCTGCATGGAGTTCCTGAAGGTCTCGGTCTGAGTTGTTAAAAACTTCATGTTAAAGCACTGGCTGAGCAGAAAGAGCTCGAGGAAGGAGAAGAGACTCGGCCATGTGTTGGTGTTTAAAAGAAGCATCTGCTGGCAGGAAGCTGGATGGTTTGGAAACCACAGCTGTGGTGCTGACGGGCTGGTTCTGGTTCTGCTGCGGGGTAGGTGGGGGCCGCCCTGTCATCTTTGAAAAGTTTGTACAGCGTTGTGATCGACTTTCAGAAAGATTTATTGAATTAAGTTCTGCTTAAACCAATTGTTTTCCTCCTCTCCACCTCTCCTCTCCTCATCTTTCTCCCTTTCTCTCACCCCCCCGGCTGCAGTCCGATCTGCTCATTAGTTTCTCTTTGTTATCACTGTTTCTCATCGTGTAGCTTTTATTGCTTTGCTCCTGTGTTTTATCACCGAGCAAATAAACTGGAGGTGAAATCATAAAGCTGCTGCCGCCCCTCCAGCAGCAGGAAGCATGTGAGGCGAAACCTGAGCTGCTGCCAGCAAACAAGCAGATAACAGAACAGTTCATCTGACAGAGGAAACGCTCCATCCATCACCAACCAGCTCAAATCATTAATGCGTTGGCGTTCCTGATAATCACACTTGTACAGTGCGGTCACCTGACTCCACCTCCTCCTGCAGATACAGATATATGTTTTCATCTGATCATCAAACACCTGAGACAAACTTTCCCGCCCTGCCAGGAGCAGGAGGTTTCTGAGACTGCAGGCGGCCTGATGAACTGTCAGTGTTTTAACCGACCCATATGTTTTTTCCTGTGCCGATACCAAATTCTAGTAACTAATTAGACCGATATTTGGAACCAATATAAATTTTATATTTATGTTCGTGTCCCCAGACTCATTATATAAAGTAGGTCATTTATATAAAGGCTAAACAACAGGGGCCCCAGAATTGATCCCTGAGGTACACCAATACCACACTCAAGGGCTGATGCCACCTCATCATTTACCTTCACCCGCTGTGAATGCTTGAATGGTTCGATCTAAAGCCAAACGGCATAGGATGCAATCTGAAAGGGCTGTTGTTAAGGTGGCTAGTAAGTTGTTCTGCTACATACCTTTCAATTACCTTTGACACGGTAGGTACTGTACTAATTCATTCATTCATTCTTGTCAAAGCTCCCTGTAGAACTGTTTAGAAACCAATGTCAAGTATAGGGAGACGCAGCCCACAGAGATGATGATGACAGGATGTCATGTAAAGTTCTGTAGTGCACTCGCACAATCAAAACTAACTGAATTTATCAAAATGTATCAAAACAGAACTTTGGTTCGGACCTTGGTGCAGACACAGTGGCAGTTCTAGACCAATTTTATTGAAGGAGACCAGGCTGGGGCCAGTTGTTTTGTCAGAGTTAATGTCTTTGCTGTCTGCCTCAGCGAGTGGGAACATTTCACAACACGTCCAAAATATCAGCTTCCTGTGAGACCCATGTGACCTGTGTTTAGGGAAACACGAGTCGCAGAGATCGATGGTTTGAAGATTCATTGATTAAATCTCAACTCCTGAAATCTTCCTGAGATCCACCTGAAATCTTCCTGAGATCCACCTGAAATCTTCCTGAGATCCACCTGAAATCTTCCTGAAATCCACCTGAAATCTTCTGGAAATCACCTGAAATCTTCCCGAAATCTTCCTGAAATCCACCTGAAATCTTCCTGAGATCGACCTGAAATCTTCCTGAGACTCACCTGAAATCTTCCTGAAATTTGCCTGAAATCTTCCTGAGATCCAACTGAAATCTTCTTGAGATCCACCTGAAATCTTCCTGAGATCCAACTGAAATCTTCTTGAGATCCACCTGAAATCTTCCTGAGATCCACCTGAAATCTTCTTGAGATCCACCTGAAATCTTCCCGAGATCCACCTGAAATCTTCCCGAGATCCACCTGAAATCTTCTTGAGATCCACCTGAAATCTTCCCGAGATCCACCTGAAATCTTCTTGAGATCCACCTGAAATCTTCCCGAGATCCACCTGAAATCTTCCCGAGATCCACCTGAAATCTTCTTGAGATCCACCTGAAATCTTCCTGAGATCCACCTGAAATCTTCTTGAGATCCACCTGAAATCTTCTTGAGATCCACCTGAAATCTTCCCGAGATCCACCTGAAATCTTCCCGAGATCCACCTGAAATCTTCTTGAGATCCACCTGAAATCTTCTTGAGATCCACCTGAAATCTTCCCGAGATCCACCTGAAATCTTCCCGAGATCCACCTGAAATCTTCCCGAAATTCAACTGAAATCTTCCCGAAATTCAACTGAAATCTTCCCGAGATCCACCTGAAATCTTCATGAAATCCACCTGAAATCTTCCCGAGATCCACCTGAAATTTTCCTGAAATACGCCTGAAATCTTCCTGAGATCCACCTGAAATCTTCCTGAAATCCACCTGAGATCCACCTGAAATCTTCCTGAAATCTTCCTGAAATCCACCTGAGATCCACCTGAAATCTTCCTGAAATCTTCCTGAAATCCACCTGAGATCCACCTGAAATCTTCTTGAGATCCACCTGAAATCTTCCTGAGATCCACCTGAAATCTTCCCGAGATCCACCTGAAATCTTCCCAAAATTCACCTGAAATTCCCCTGAAATCTTCCTGAAATCTTCCTGAGATCCACCTGAGATCCACCTGAAATCTTCCTGAAATCTTCCTGAAATCCACCTGAAATCTTCCTGAAATCCAACTGAAATCTTCCTGAGATCCACCTGAAATCTTCCTGAGATCCACCTGAAATCTTCCTGAAATCCACCTGAAATCTTCCTGAGATCCACCTGAAATCTTCCTGAGAACCACCTGAAATCTTCTTGAGATCCACCTGAAATCTTCCTGAAATTCACCTGAAATCTTCCTGAGATCCACCTGAGATCTTCCTGAAATCTTCTTTAAATCTTCCTGAAATTTTCCAGAAATCTACTTGAGATCCAGCTGGTCTCCAGCTGTCTGCTGAGTCACCTGCAGGCTGCCTGTCTGAGCAGAAACAGCTGAGAGAGCAGTGTGTGGCAGATTTGTTGTACAGAACCAGAAACAGTAATGCATGTAATGAAAAGGACAGAAATTTGTCATAACATTTGTC